AAAAATTTTTTTTACTTACCATCATCCAGCACCATCCACCACCACCACCCACCATCACCCACCACTACCACCCACCACCACCACCCACCACCACCACCACCCACTACCGCCACCACCTCAACTACCCATCACCATTTTTTATATCTTGTGATTTTTTAAGTAAAACCTGTACCTGTACCACCAATCAAAAAATTTTATATTAAATTAGCCCGCTTAGTTGTTTCTAATCTCAGACACGAGAAAAATTTTCAAGACCTTACAACTTAAATACCTTGTAATTGTATATACATACTTTTGTTTTATTTAAGAATTACTTAAAAATTGATATAAATACATAATACGACTCTATGAATATAATAGGAGACTTAAACAATGGATTTAATAATCAAAATAATAGGTTTTATAAGATTATAGTTGCTAATTAATTGTCGATGCTTGCAATACAGTTGCACACGTAGACATTAATCAATCACAATACTATCTAATTAAAACCTCAATCCTCTTCAGCTTGAATTGCTTTTAAACTTCCAAATACTTGTGACGGTATAGTTTGTTTCTCGATCGGTACATCTGAAAATAAATGGAATATTAAAACAAAATGTACTATATACGTATATATACACACAGAGAGTGTCTCACAAGTAAACCTATCTTTCGGTCATTTTCCAAACTTAATGAAACTTGGTACACTTGTAAAGTATGCAAAAATAATAGGCACTTTTTATTTTTTTATATCGACAATGGTGCAAACTACTCACCTTGAAGTGATAAGAATAAGTGTTTAATTCCTTGCATTTTAGCTCACGGTATTAGAGCTATTTCGGAATTTCGGATAAGAGGCTATCATGTTTTCCGAAAGTAAATTCAACGTAAACATTATAGAATTTGAAATGGCGGATCCAATATTATAGCGATTTGATGAATTCAAAAATCTCATCTCGTTCTTTGCTAAATCCAGGATTAGTATAATCGACGAAAAAGTGATGAGTGTCTATTCCCATTTTGTCTTTTATTATTTTTTTATATTTTTTATGTTTTTACATGTTTTTAGATAAGTTTTCTTTTTTATAACTATGTTATATCTTGCGCCTTGCCTATGTCTACTTTTTTATTTTTATTTTATATTTTAGAAATGATATTTAAAAAAATTCTTTTATCCAATGTTTTAAATGTTCACGAATTTTGGCCATTTCTCTCAATGTCTTCGGCTTCAGAATTTTAAAAAATTTTATTAAACATCTTTCAGATATAGTTATTTTATACGTATGTAATCTTACATTTACGAAACAATATCAATCACTTATTTATAATCAGCTATCTTCTCGGTTTATAAATTTGTTTAAGTATTCCTAGTACAAAAATGGATATATTTACAAGGGAATCCACATGAGTTTAATAATTCTGTAGATACCTAATTGTTTTAAAAATTATGAAGCTGTGTGTGCACTGTGCAATAATATAACTATCATAAAGCGTGCTTGATGTGCGAATTCTTTATGTATAAAAGAATTTTTTTTAATATTATTTCTATAAAGAATATAAAATAAAAAAATATATATACATAAACAAGGCGCAAGAAGTGAGTTATAAAAAAAAAAGAAAAACCTTGAAAAAGAAAGAAAAACATGTAAAAAGGTATATAAACAAAAAATATGAATAATAAGACAAAAAAACAAACGGGAATAGACACTCGCCACCTCCTCGTCGGTTATTCCCGAGTTCGGCAAAGAGATAATATTTTTAATTTTATCAGATCGCCATACTGGATCCGCTATTCTATAATTGTTTACATTGTCTTTGCTTTTGAGAAAAATGATAGTCTCTTATCATCTCTAAAATTCCGAAATAGCTCTAATACTATAAACTGAAATGCAAGGAATTAAGTACTCGCTACAAGCTTATCACTACAAGAAATAGTTTGCACCCTTACACCTGCACCATTGCCGATAAAAAAAATGTGTCTATTAAATATACAAGTGTAGCAAGTTTTTCATTAAATTCGGAGAGTGACCGAAAGGTAAGTCCTTGTCAGAGCACCTGCATCATTCATTTAAAAATGAGAGAAGTGGTTTTTATCAAAAATTCCAAAAATTAAATTTTGATAAATAAATCGGATACGCGGAAGTCAAAGTTTGCTAAATGAAATATGGTATTTTTTATTGTAGATTCGGGTTCTACATGAAAAAATATTTATCTCAACTTTTATATCAAGCATTTTTTTGAAAAATATCAACTATAATTTTCAAATAATCTTTGAAAAAATGGCTTCCTGTCTGAATAGTCCATTTCTGTTTGGATCCGAAGATATCACCATTCGATAGAGCGTACCAGATTTATTTATCAAAATTTTTGAGATTTGATAAAAAGCATTTCCTTCGTATGATGGGTGGCGTGTACATACATGGCGCGAGCATGAATCAAATGAATTTAACCGATGTCAAGAATGACACAAAAATAGCTTATACATGCTTATACATAAGATATATTATAGTACCTTCTTCTATTTCTGCGTCATTATCATTTTCATCATCTATATCGATATCAATCTCATCTGGATTATTCACATGAGATTCAGGTTTACCATCCTTTTCTGTTACACCACGTACAAATTTGATGCCTCCTTTGATATCAGCTGCATTATCTGCATCAATTCAAGATTATTGAAATTGTTCAAGATTTGTAAAAACTTAAAAAATATAAAAGAATTTAAAGAATCTTACCTGCACTAGATGTAATTTTACTATCTAATAAACGCATAGCATCCATTGGAACATCCGATATTTGATTGGATGCGTTATTCAACATTTGTGCAGACATCATGTTTACTTGAGTGTTATACATAGCTTGCACGCTACGTTTGATTCGAAGCATTTCACGCATTGTATCCTCATTTCCATGCCTGACTTCAAATTCTTTCCAAATTTGCCAAAAGTTGGACGTGACCTGCGTGATTATTCAATATAATGCGTGAAAAATGAGTAATATAACTAAAACTCGCTGTTGAAATATATTATTAAATATAATATCATACTCTCGGATCGCATATTTGGCTACAATGCGCGTATATCGCTCTTGCTCTATCTACTTCTCCTAACTTGGTCTCCATTTCTGCAAATCGTAAACACATTTCTCTTGTGTTTTCATCATTCAAGACTTCTATAGCTTTTTCATATATTTGTCGAGTTTTCGGCACACCATATATGTCGGCAGCTTTCTTTATATATATATTGAACATCTGCGAATTAAGAAATTATTTTTCAAATGTGAAATTAATATCTAAATATTATCTGTAATATATTATCAAGTTTTACATTAGAAAATATTTTACATTTTGATTGAAAAAATATATACATATGTATATAAGCATACAACAAAGAAATACAAATTTCTTTGCACAGAAATTTTGAAATTTATACATAAGCTGTTTGTAGAACAGCAAGAAGAAAAGAATGTATCGATAAAAAAAAACATTACGTCAAATCTTTCTTCCGGGAGAACAGCATTCGTCGCACGTTCATATACAGACATGGCATGTCTTGCTAAGCCATGTTCTTCTTCTAGCTTTGCGTATAACAAATATAAAGCTATAATAAATAGAGATTATTTATTCTCTCTTATTACAATACATAATACGTAAGTTAATAAGATATAAATCATAAGTTGTATACCCTTGGCATATTTTGGTGGGCAATATTCTAAACATTGCTCGAACAGATCTCTGGTACGTTCTAGTTTTGTACCACCATAACGGTGTAAAAATTTTGTGAGGTATGTGTTCCAAATGTCATAAACATTAGGCCACTTGAACAACGCAATACCTTTTTCATATGCCTAAAATTGCAAGATGCATACATGAGTTTGACATTTCATTACAACATTATCATATTGCAAGACACTATAAAATTATCATTATACATATAATTAATTAATAAAAAAATTCAACATACCCTAAATGCTTCCTCAAAGTAATTATTTTCTTCCAAAAATAATCCATAATTGATGATAATTTGAGGAGTTGCGATTTTCAAATCGATTATTTTGTCGTACACTGCTTTACAAGTCTATTATAACAAACGTAAAATTAAAAATACTAATTTTATAATATAAATTAAATAACATAAATGAAAAACTTAAACATACCTTGAATGTTCCAAAACTTTCTTCCAAATCTGCATACATAGACCAGACTTTTAAAGATTTGTATAATCTCATTTGTACTGTTTCCGTTTCATCGTGGTATGCTACTTTTCTAGCTGGCATTGTAGTAGCACGATGCATGAGTTTTAAAGCTTCTTTGCAGTTCCTGCACAATACATATACATATATCGGATGTCTGATAATTAAATTAATTATATCAATCTCTTGTGAATAGATGAAGCGAGTTAAACTGAATAAAAATTTTGTGAGCTTCTCAATAATCTAATCTAATAAAAAATAAATTAATAAGAATCCGCGAATCAGCATGTGGTTACGCGAAATTTGACGAAAAGACAGCCCGACGATGTTGTGGTTATTATGTATGCAACGAAACATTGGAAAGAGCTCGTGTCTATAACAACAAATAATACGTAATACTAGACTGTTTCTTGTCATTGAATCGCACGGATGCACATTCTTAGATCTCGATTAACTAATTTTTCGAATTAATTTTAACGATTTTAAAATTAATTACTGACAATGAGAAACTCGTAAAATTCGATAAACTTTTCTGTTCAATTTACTGCTCTACTTACCTACAGGGTGTGTGTGTGGGGAGAGGGGAGGGGGTGGATGTGGGTGTGTGTATGTGTGTGTGTGTGTGTGTGAGTGTGTGTGGATGTACGTGTGTGTGTGGGTGTGGGGGTGTGAGTGTGGGTGTGTTATATCATAGGTAAGTAGAGCAGTAAATTGAATAGAAAAGTTTATCGAATATATACTCTTACTATATATTAAAACAAGTATATTAATACTATATATTAAAACAAATATATATAATACATACATACATACATATATATACACACACACACACACACACACACACGCACGCACGCACGCACGCACGCACGCACGCACGCACGCACGCACGCACGCACGCACGCACGCACGCACGCACGCACGCACGCACACACGCACGCACGCACGCACGCACGCACGCACGCACGCACGCGACACACACACACACACACACACACACACACACACACACACACACACACACACACACACACACACACACACACAAGGATTACAAGGTGGCCCATGTAAAGTGTTACATACTAATAGCACAATACATAATAGTTATATACTAATAGTTACATACTAATATAACAAGTACTAATAACTAAGATTATTTAAGAATATTAATAGAATATTTGACGTATCAAAAAGTTGTTCATGAAAAAGTTTCATGTATTAGAAGGGCCTTTCTGACTGTGTAAACAAGTCTTTCTCCATTTCCCCCCCCCCCTCTCCACTCTTTGAAGGGGATGAGGAATAAGTTAATAACTTCAAACGGAACCTCCTATAAAATGTTACATATTTGGATTCTACGAGAAAAAATAAGTAAACTTTATCTGAAACATTTCTTTGGAAAATGCTTCTATCAAAAGTTATAAGCATTTAAACTTAAAAGTAGAGTGCATTCAAATTAATGATAAACACATAAATGTGTCAGATAAAGTTTATTTATTTTTTTCTCATAGAATATAAATATATAACATTTTATAGGAGGTTTAATTTGAAATTTTGAAGTTAAGTCCCCCGCCGCCTTCAAGGGAGGGAGGTGGTGGAGGATTTTCGTTTACGTAATTAAAAAGGCTCCTCTAATACATGAAACTTTCTCATGAACAACTTTTTAATACGACAAATATTTTCAGAGTTATTAGCTTGTAACACTTTACATAGACACCACCCTGTATAGTACACACACTTACCAAATTTAAAAATATTTTTTTTATATATGTGTACATATTAATACATAAATATACTAATCATATATGTACTAATTTTTTATAGCATTTGATTATTTGTATATAACAAAACAAATGTGATAGATAATAGGATAAAATAAACCTTACCCATGTCTAATTTCCATTTCTGCCCATTCACACCATACTGAAGCAAGATCGTCTACTTTGGTGTACGGAACATGAGTCGCCTTTTCAAATACTACTCTAGCATCTTCTATTTGTCCATTTTCCTCATAAAATTTACCAAACGCAACCCATAATGTATGCAATTTACCAACTGCCAACTGTGGTTGCACTGTCTGCACTGCTTCTGTGTATGTATTAATTATCTACAGGAAAGCATATTGATTAACAATTGAATTTATTCCAAAACAGATATTCATTTATAAAATTTCCATAGCCCATTTTACCTCATGTGGCTGCCCTTCATAAAGTTTTACTCTTTTATGCCATTCCGCTACATTGTGTGGATTTTGTCTTAATAATACAGAATTGAGCAACAATAGCCTCCTTTCCATAAGATGTTCCAATCGCGCCAGTCTCAATTCTAATTTTATGTCATCTAATACAAGAAGAGATATAATTAGATAAAATTAAAACAATAATGCAACAATATTTGTATTATTTATATTAGTCTAAATTAATGTGTGTACATTAGCTACCTTCTTCAGTAGGATTTTTTGCTGCTTCTTCTATAAGCTTCTTAAGACTAAGTTCTTCAAATTGCGCATAAGCATCGAAAACTTGCGTAAAATCTCTGACGGTGGTAACAGTCTGTATAGCTTCTTCATAAATGTCCCTCGCCTAAATAAAATGATTTATAAATGGGTTTAATGTGTGTACATATGTGTACATGAATGTAAGCATAAATTAATTAAATTTGCAAGTACAAAGCTAATAATACCCTTTCAAAGAGACCACTTCGGACATAATAATCTGCTAATGAATTCCATAAAGGTCCTAATTGATCAGTATATCGTCTTAAACCGCCTCTAATAATAGCATCTACATTCAAAGACTTAATCTTGGAAGGATTTTTTGATATTAAATCACATAATTCATTCCATAGTTGATGATTAGACTTTCCATGTTTCGATACAAAATCGTCCTGGTTGACGATCTGCGCAAGTTTTACAGCAGCCTCATCAAGTCTTGCAATTGATATCAAATACTCTATATATTCTTCTGTATCTTCTGGTGCTAGCTATATATAAACATGTACGAAAAATAAACAGTAAATATAATATACCTACATAATTAAGGCACTTGTCAAAAATAAATTCTTTTAAAGAAGTTAATTTTTGCCACGATCAAAGAATATGAGAGAGAAAGAGAAAGAGAGAGAGAGATAAAAAAAGCAGTACAAATATTTATTATGCATGTTATTATTACATACCTTCAAATACCTTCTAAAGACCCTAACAGCAGTCTCATAAACATTATGTTTCTTTAAGAAATGAATATATAATGGCCATATACGATGATGCTGCGTGATAGGAAGTGCTCTAAGAGACCGATCAAACACTTGACGCGTTCGTGTTATATAACATTCTTCGGTCATTAGCGTACAATAATCCATCCATATACGTGGCATTTTATGCATAAATACTAAAGCTCGTTCAAATGCATTATTAACATCTTCATATAATGGATCTGTTATACATCGCCCTTTTAATTGACTCACACGTTGTCGAAGATAATTATACCACAGCTTGTAACTGTCAATCAATATCAATAATACACAATATTTAAAATTTGATACTGTAGTAAGTTGTACAGTTGTAAAGATATATAAAAGAATTATTATTATTTTACCTTCCCGGAAGTTCTTTTAATGCTCGTTCATATACCACATTTAAATTTTTACTGTTTGTATTTTTAAGATGATCGATATAGCGTTGCCAATGTTTCACTGAATATGGATTTCGTAAAATTTCTTCTTCATATGGTAAATCCTCCTCATTCTGTTTTATTTATAATTCAATTATTAATCTTATCACACAAATACGCCTAAGTGTTGTATTCGCCTTTATATGTAAACACTCGTTATATAAATTATATAAAATATACTCACAAAAGCATATAAATTTCCTTCGTCATCTTTACGTTCCAGCATTTTTACGTTTCTAAGAATATTTTATAATTTTATATTGTCAACATACCATCGCAGTTATAAACACGCAATAATTCTTGGAATAATCCAAGATTTAGGTTAGGTGCGTTCCGACTCCAACTCCGGCTAAGGCCATAGACATATAAGATAGACTCCACATTGGCTATCAGGCCTATCACCAGAGAGGATCCTGAGAGCGGTCATGCCCGCGATAGCTGCGATGGCGATTGAGCTGGTTTCAGCGCCTCTGGAAAGTGGACATTGAACTACCAACTAGAGAGACCAATAAGAAGCACGTTTTCCGTCCAACACGTGCTTCTCATTGGTCTCTCTAGTTGGTAGTTCAATGTCCACTACTCCAGAGGCGCTGAAACCAGCTCAATCGCCATCGCAGCTAAATCGCGAGCATGACCGCTCTCTCAGGATCCTCTTTGGTCGTGAGCATAGCCGCTTTCAGGATCCTCTCTGGTCTACCAAGTGCAGCACTTGATAGCTAAGTGCAATTTCTGATTGGTTTTCTATCTTTCCGCATTCTGCTTTTCCGCTCTAATGTGAATCCTCCCTAAGGCTGCCACCATAGGCGGCATAATAACTAGTTTAATAACTAGTTTCAGTCAGAAATACATAAATTTCTCACATGTGCTTACATGTGTGATCCTTTCTGGCGTGACCAGATGTGACACGTGTATGTATGTATGTATATTTTACATCAAGTTTCGCAAACGCGTATGCACATGATTAGATTATATATATTTACCTAAATTTTTAAAAAATGCCAGCTAAAATAAAAAACAAAATACTTATATATGAGGGCAACAATTATCTTAGATATCGCTTATTATTATCCACATTATCTGGAAAGCCAGTGAGAATTACAAATATTAGAACGAAAAATGATGATCCCGGTCTTAAAGGTTAGTAATATTTTTTAAATATATAAATCAGTCAATATTTTCATTGATTGTCTACCTATATAATTAAAATATGTAAATAATTTGAATACAAAAATTATATCTTAACATTATCAATAATTCTTTACGTATAATTTTGTTTTTTCTGACTTTGGAAAAATGTTAAATGAAAATGTTAGCTTTCAAGGTATAGCAAACAAAATTTAAATGGCAATATTTTATTGCAGCAATTAAATTAAATTAAATAATAAAATAAAATCTTTATTACCATAAGAATATATTTCGTTATTCTTTTAATTGCTACATTATTTCAATATTAATATTAATATTTACTGTTGTCACTGGTTGTAGTAAATACATATATATATATATATATATATAATAGCTATGTATGCAATAATATAATATACTTTTTTAAATAATTATATGTCAATTGTTTTTATATTAGAATACGAGATTAGTTTTATTCGTCTATTGGATAAGATGACTAATGGTACAAAAATTGAGCTAAATGAAACAGGTACCAGTATATATTATAATCCTGGTTTATTAAATGGTGGTGAATTGGAACATGACTGTAGCTTGCAAAGAAGTATTGGTTATTATTTGGAAGCAATTATGATACTTGCTCCATTTTGTAAGAGTCCTATTGATTTGAAGCTCAGAGGTGTGACCAATAATACTATAGGTACCAGACAATATATCAAGCAGCAATATATACTTGTGTTATTAAAGTAAAAATTAATAATTAATATATGTATTACAAGATCCATCAGTGGACAGAATTCAGACTGCTGGTATACCAATACTGAAAAGATTTCTGTCTGGTGACAATGAAGTTGTATTAACTATTCGCAAAAGAGGAGTAGCACCTTTGGGAGGTGGAGAAGTACAATTTAAATGTCCAATTAGCCGTAATCTTAAAACGGTTCAGGTACTCAATTTTTAGATACTCACATTTATATGTCATGTACTATTTTGTAATAATGTAAATTTTATTTTTTTGCCAGTTGGAAGATAGTGGAATGGTAAAACGTATTAGGGGTACTGCATGTAGTATAAGAGTTTCCCCAGCAATTGCTAATCGTATTGTTGAATCAGCAAAAAGTATTCTTCTCAAGTTTTTACCCGATGTATATATTTATGCAGACCATTGCAAAAGATCAAGCAGTGGAAAGTCTCCAGGTATGTGCACATATATACATATAATATATATATAATGTATATTCATCTAAATGTGTAATAATTATTTGTAATTTGTTATTTATCAGGTTTTGGAGTCACATTGACAGCAGAAACTACTGAAGAAATATTTTTTAGTGGGCAAGCATTCTCTCCATTAATGACAACAGGTTCATTGCCATGTGTACCTGAAGATCTTGGCAAAGAAGCTGCAATGAAACTTTTAGATGAAATTTATAGGTAAAAGGATTATATTTTCTAATGCATTTCCTTCTCTTTTTCGTTATTTCAATTGTTAACAAGTTTGTATTATTTCTACGTTATATTTTCCTTATAAACATACTCTCATAAACATACAATGCTACTCTTTATTGAAATTCTTGTAATTTATTGATTTATAGGAATGGATGTGTAGATTCTTCTTTTCAAAGTATGACTGCTGCATTTATGGCTCTTGGCAAAAAGGATGTTTGCAAAGTTACAGTAGGATCGTTAACTCCAGCGATGTGAATTTTTTTTTTTATTTATATTACATGCAAACTGCAATATATGTATAAAAAGGAAGTATGATTATATTTGTGGGTTATTTTCAGGGTACAATTTCTACGTGACTTAAGGGACTTTTTTGGAATTACCTTCAAGATAGAACAAATCAAGGAAGGAGAAGATGAAACGTCGCAAGTACGTTTAACTTGTTTAGGTATAGGTTATACTAATATAAGTAAACGAACTCTGTAATGTTGTAAATGTTATTACTGCAAACAGCATTGTATTAAATAAATATATATATATATATATATATATATATATATATATATACTCTTATCTTTAACATTATACATCAGTAGTAATAAATAATAGAAAGAAGAGTTTATTTTTGTTTACTGCGTACAAAAATATGCTCTTGAGAGAGACAGGTATCTGAGACACTTGTATGTACGATAATTTCATAATGTAAAATTTTGCAAATGTATCGGTTTACATGGCCAATTATGAAATGATTGACATTTCAATTGTTTCCACTTGTTTTGATAAATTATTGACCATTGCTTCCAATCGTAATACGTAATCTTTTTTGGATGTCTAATTTCACTGTAGTAATTCTGATATTTATCAAAAATTTGTAACAAGTTTTGCAAAAGCATTCGTCTAGTTACAAGTAAATTATTGCCTTTTTTCTTTTTCGTTTCTCCTTGTTTTCTGCCAGCAACTGCCATTTCTAATGCACTGCACATAAAAACATGTAAATTTTATTTTATCAATTGTATAAAAATTTTATAAAAATATAGTTGAGTAATCGATGTATGAATTGTGTGATACATGTTAGAGATACTTATCGATCAATACCTATTCCTTACAGCACACCATATAATACTTATTGGACAGGGATGTAATCTTTGTTGTCCTTTCTTGTGTACAAAAGCAGTTTTTGCTTGAAAAATCTTGAATTTGACCAACTTATTGTTAAATCTCTTATATAACCCACGTTCCATGGCATCCAGAGAAAATGGACAGTCGCCTCCAATCGTGATACTTTCCAGCTTTATTGGTGCAGGTATTAACAATGATAAGAGTGATCCTTGTAAACCAAGAATGAGCCACCTTGAACAACAAAAATATTGTCAGTTTGTAAATATTAGGTATGCAATATCTATTCACAGAATAATTATATATATATATATATATATATTATATAAAATTTCCACAAACTTACTTTGCTATCTTATCTGAACAAGACAAACTGCTCGTGGGATCTCCTCTACCTGGTTTGGTACGCAAAGGACCTACGATATGATAATCAATACCAGGCAAATGAGGATCCTGTGCTTCCTCTCCTTTTACACATTTTGCTCCTGTTCTATATACATCTTTAATTGATTCTGCGATAATATGTCCAGCAGTATTGACACGTCTAATCTTATATGCAGGAGGCAGGCTATCGTTAATATCGTTATTTGTTTCCAATTTAGGGAAAATGGAACAATCGCCACAAGGCGTTTGACTTGAAAAAAAGTGAAATGATATACCGCTATTTAATTCTATTTTATTTTCATTATTTCGCGAGAAAATTGCACTTTCAGAGCCACTCAAAGTTAAGTCGATCTGCTCGTACAAATAACGTATAAATGCACGCCTGGCTAGAACTTCTGCATGCGAATCGCTTAATCGAGAACCTTCTTTTTTTTTATCAGCTCGAGTACCCTTTGTCAATTCCAAGTCGCCTAAACATTTCGTTCCAGTAGCGAGTGCTACTAGAGACAATAAACCATCGGTGTTTTTTAAAATGATGCCAGACAACACAGTCCATTCATGGACATTAGGTTTACCAGTTTCTTTTAGAAAATTGTATTTCTCCATACATAACCTAGCTACATTATCCGCAAAATTTTCCATCACTTAATCTTCATATAAATCTGCTTGAATATCTTGATAAATCTAATAATGATAGACCATATGTGTCAATTTATAAATTTTATCATGTACATTACACGTTCTACGATATAAAGATATAAAACTAAAGAGCTAAAAGCAGCAGCTTTAGATTAGATATGATGTATGTATGCCTTTTTATTTTATGATTGAATCCATTAAAATCTATTATTTTTAAAAATAAAGTGTATAAATATAAATTTTTAAAAAATATATCTTTCACTTATGTATGTATGTATGTATACATTATTAAGGTCCGATTGTACCAACATTATTTTGAGTATTTTGACTGTATGTGCAAAAATGTGGATTTTGCTATATAGTACACCCACTTCTTTAGATGGCGTTAGGTTTCTCTGCTGGTACTAGCAAGGTTTATGACGTGCGGTGAGACATGTCGCATGTCGCACATTCAGAAATATCAAATAGGTTATCCAAGTGTATGCGTTGATATTGATATTGTTGAGGCTCGAATAAAATTGGTTTTATCAACAAAATGTTATTTTGGAGAATTATTAACAAATTGCCAGGAGCTATGTGTCCATCGTTGAAATATTGCACGAGCATAGAGAATCGAGCAAAAGTTGAAGAGATCGTTCCGATAATATCCAAGATACGATACGACGATGGAAATAATTTCTACCAAAAGCCTCGACAAGTATGGCTAGAGAATTTGAAAACTGTAGAGGAAAAGAAATTGGGCCTAGTCACCTTACATCCGCACATCTATGCGGCTGCTCCCCGTATCGACATCATTCATCAGAATGTGAGATGGCAAAGAATGTATCGCTGGGTTGTAAGTGTATCGTGTATAATTATTTATATATATATATATATATA